AGATTCTTACCTAGGGCCTTTATAGGTACTTAATCTTGTTGAATCCAAGCTTGATCTTGAGCCTCTCCTTCAAGTTCCACACTTTCCTCTTGGTTTCCCTCTTTCTCTAGACCTCTATCTCTTTCTTCACATTTTTCTTCTTCTTTTGTTGACTCTAAGCAATGTATATATATACACTATCTAATATTTAATTAACTCCAATTTAATTCATTCTGAATCAGATTTTTACAAAACTTCATATTATGTCTTAAAAATCACACTAATTACAAATATGTATTCTGTTCTGGTTTCTGAAACCTCTAAGGCCTTCAATTTCAGTGTAAAGTCGCAATGAAACCATCCAAACGCACCTTAACGAATCAGCCGAAATCAATTTTCAATTAAACTTCTCAAATGGCTCTGAAAATTCCCATTAGCATATCCATGTACTCAATTTCGATTTCTGAACTCATTAAGGTCATTAATTTCAGTTCCAAAGTCGTAGCCCCAACAGATATTTCTCTAATTTCGACAGATATTCTCAAATTAATTCATATTAACGCATAATTAAGAAAAATAATTGTAACATGCATTTTGGTTTGGAGTGTCTAGGCAAAGAGTATACAAGTTGCAAGAGAGAGAGCGAGAGAGAGATAAATGTAGAGAGAGAAATATTTTCCAAAACTTTGCTCTCCAAAATTTTTCTAACGCTAATTTTTTAAAGTGAGTCATCTATATATATAAATATATGAGATTATATCGAAAATATCCATGCAGATACAACTAAAGCAGTATATGCATCTGTGGAGACAACTGGCACAGTTGGCAAAAATATCTGAAATTTTACACAAGTGAGCGACAGGCCACTAGTGGGTTTGCTGGTCCCTTGGATGGTTAGGCTTGAAAAACTACTGTTTTGGTCAAAAAATAAGGCACAAGGTTTGTAGGTTTTTTGAGGCTCAAAACTGAGGTTTCTTACTGAGGAAGTTGAGCAGTTGGACAAGCGTACAAATCATTATTGGGTGAGCAATTGGTGGCGCCCAAGTCTTAAGGGCGGTCAAAAATGGGGTGTCTACACTCTTAAATCAAAAAATTATTCTTATTCCAAATCTCAGCTAAAAAAAATTCATTATCTAGATTAAAATGAATTTTACACCAAAAAAAAATTATATATATTGTAATATAAAAAATAACACATAAATATTATGAAAATTTACCTGGAAATCCCATCTTGAGGAATGGTGATCCTTTTAGTCCCAAAGATTTTCTTATAGACCAATTAGTTTCATTGATTTTAAAAAAATAAATTTAATATATTATTTAGAAATTAGATTTACAGTTATACTCCTATTTCTATTACATTTCCTTCTTCTTTCTTTTCTTTTGTGCTAGAAAGGTAAGATCAACAATTTATGAGAATCAAATTTGAAATGAATTTTTATAGGGAAGTTTTTTTTTATTTGGGAAACATTTCAAAAGAAGTATAAAAATGACTTGAAATATTAGCTTCTTCAAACATTCCAAAAGGAAGTGGGGTTCTTCAAACATTTCAAAAATAATACGAAAAACTCCTTAATATGCTTTGGGCAAATGTATAATTTCAAATTGTAACACTCCAATATAATAGTCAAATGTAGCACTCTAAAAAAAACTCTTTAATATACTTTTTTCAAATATAACACTCTAATATAATACTAAAAATAAAATAAAATAAATCCTTAGTGTAACATTCCAATGTAATACAAAAAAAAAAAATTCTTAGTGTAATTTTTCAAATATAAAACTCCAATGTAACACTCCAAAAAAAGTATGTGAAATTCTTCAAATCATTCCAAAAGGATGTGGAGTTCTTCAAACTATTCCAAAAGGAGTACAAAAATTGTTTAGTAAACTTTAGGCAAATGTATAATTACAAACTATGAGTGTTACGTTTGGAAAAAGTATATTATGAAATTTTTTAGTGTTTTTGTATGTGTTACATTAGAGTGTTAGTTTGGGATTACATTGAACGAAGTGTTATGTTTGAAAAAAGTACACTAAGTTTTATTATTATTTTTTTTTTGTATTACATTGGAGTGTTACGTTTGAGAAAAGTGCACTAAGGAACTTTTTAGCGTGTTACGTTATTAAAGTGTTATGTTTTTGTTCGTAATGTGTAGGAGTGTAAAAATGGCATGCGTCCTAAGATGGGCCCGAGCCTAGCCCTAGGCCTGGGCTTGGGCCTGGGCCATCATTTTGAAGCCCAGCCCGCCCAAGGCCCAATGTTTTTTTTAGTGAAAAATAATAAAATTTTAGTAAAAATTTTCTTTTAAAAAAGGTCAGGCCCACTCAAGCCCGCTCCAAGCCCAAGGCCACCAAGCCGGCTAGAGGCCCGGCCTATCGGCTCACCCAAGGCTCAAATACCCCCTGGGCCTAGGCTTAGTTTTTTGGCCCGTGGCAGGCCCGGTTCGGCCCGAATTTTGGCAGGAGCACGCGAGGCTCGACATGGGTCGGGTCGGACCAGATTTACACCCCCAGTAATGGGAGATTTGTTCTAGAATAAAGAAAAATTCAAAACCTCTATAGTGTGGATTATCCAAATATGTAATTTTACATTTAGAAAAACTCACATTTATTCTTAAAAAATTAAACTTAAACATGTAAATAACTACTATTTTGTATAATTCTCACTTTAATGAGACCATTAAGTTCATTAAAAAAAATTTAAAAAAAAACTTACCAGTTGAGAAGATCACATTTTCGGATTTTATTTTATTTCAATTTTGGGGGAGCCTCATTTGGGAACATGCTATTTTAGTAACTTTTTGAATTTTTTACTAAAATATGAGGTAAAAAAAACTAATATGTTTTGAATGACTTTTTGATTTTTTATGAAAAGATGTGCAAAAAGTAGAGAAAAAATAAAATTTTTGACTTTTTGGTACAAGTTATAGACTTTTTTATTTTTTTAATTACTTTTTTACTTTTAAGCTAAAACAGACATTTAACAACCGATATACATTTAGTAATTATTATTCTTATTTGGGGAAATTACCCGTAGGTCATGTTTGAAATATGTGTACACTATTTAATCCAATAGTTTTTTGAGTAAACCCAAAAGTCCTATATGTTTTCCTTTCTCTCTACTCTCTCTCTCTCTCTCTCTGCTTTTTGTCTCATTCTTTATATTTTTCTCTCTCTTCCTTTTTTTTTTCTTTTGCGCTTTTCTCTCATTCTCTTTGTCATGTCCGATGACCGGTGATCACATCCTCCTTATTCTCTTTCTCTTCTAATATATAGTCATCGGTGACCGACGACCACCATTGATTGAGGTTTATTGGCAACCACCAACTACCGACATCAACTCGTAACTTCATCCTCACCGACGGCGAAGAAGATGAGTAGATCTACTTAGATCTGATGTATGTAGATCTAGATCCGACTAGGTCTAAACCAAAAGTAGTTACCGCAGTTATTTCTATATCTATTCTTTCCTTCAATTTCCCAATTTTTCTACCATTTCTCTGTTACACACGTTTATTTTTCTGTTTTAATGGAGAAAAATTTCAGGTTCTGAATAGGTTGTTTTTAGGGTAAATTACACTGATACCCCCTGAAATTTATGTTTATTATAGTTCTCCCTCTCACATTTGGGAAATTACACTGACCCCCCTCTTAATTTAATTTTATGTATGATGATCATTACGGTGAGGGGGAGAACTGTTATGAAACTTCAAACCTCAGGGGACAATCTGTAATGAAACTTTAAATCTCAGGAAGGGAGATGTAATTTCCAAACGGTTAGGGGAGAACTGTAATAAATATAAACCTCAGGGGGTGTCAATGTAATTTACACTTATTTTTAAGTTTTAGTTACAGGCGGTAAAAACTGTAAAATTTTACAGTTTCAGCTTTTTTGGTGATGAAATGAATCATGCTTTAAAATTACAAAATTTTACAGTTTCATAACATATTTTCTAACTTAATAGAATAATGCTTTGAAACTGTAACATTTTACAGTTTCAAAACTTACTTTTCAGTTTGATCATTATAGATTATTTGCTTAAACCTTACAAAAATTAAAAAATAATATATACTTTTTCTCATTGTTGTTGTTATGTTTTTTTAACTATAATTTCTCCATTTATTCTTTTTTTTCTCCCGCAATATTCTGAATATTCCAGTGAGTCTCCAATGATATTTTTGACATTTTTTAGTGACTTTCAGAACACTCCAGTGAACTTCTGGTGATGTTTCGGCGACTTCCCGGTAATGTTGAATATTTCAGCGAGTTTTTGGTGAGTCTGACGGAAGTCGTTGGATGTAGCAGTATTTTTAAAGTTAAAAAAAAAAAAAAAATTGGTAACAATTAAAAATATGTAAGACTAATTAGTGCAAATATTTTATTTTGAGATTAGATAGATTTTGAACTTTATGTATGGAATTTATTGGTAAGTTCCCCATTTTATTTTTAAATTTGGGCTTGAAAAAACTGTAACATTTTACAGTTTCAAAACTTACTTTTCAGTTTGATCATTATAGATTATTTGCTTAAACCTTACAAAAATTAAAAAATAATATATACTTTTTCTCATTGTTGTTGTTATGTTTTTTTAACTATAATTTCTCCATTTATTCTTTTTTTTCTCCCGCAATATTCTGAATATTCCAGTGAGTCTCCAATGATATTTTTGACATTTTTTAGTGACTTTCAGAACACTCCGGTGAACTTCTGGTGATGTTTCGGCGACTTCCCAGTAATGTTGAATATTTCAGCGAGTTTTTGGTGAGTCTGACGGAAGTCGTTGGATGTAGCAGTATTTTTAAAGTTAAAAAAAAAAAAAATTGGTAACAATTAAAAATATGTAAAACTAATTAGTGCAAATATTTTATTTTGAGATTAGATAGATTTTGAACTTTATGTATGGAATTTATTGGTAAGTGCCCCATTTTATTTTTAAATTTGGGCTTGAAAATACCTAAGACTATGAACCATACATGTTCGGCCTAACATACCCAATTTCTGTTGGGCTCCAACCCTAAAACCTGGGTCGTAGACCCATAGCCCAACCCAACAGCTAACTCCAGTTACTATATATATATACACACACATCCAGCAAAACCCTAACCCCCAATTTTCTCTCTCTCTCTCTCTCTCGCGCGCGCACGAAGCCTCCAGTCAAAGATACAACACAACCATGGGTGAGCTCAAAATCACTTGTTTCCAATCTAGGGTTTCGATTTTGTAGCTTAAAAGCTATATATCTCAATCTGGATTTGATGATTTTGCAGGTAAGGTTCATGGATCGCTAGCACGTGCCGGTAAGGTGAGAGGCCAAACTCCAAAAGTGGCCAAGCAGGACAAGAAGAAGAAGCCCCGCGGCCGTGCTCACAAGCGTATGCAGTACAATCGCCGCTTCGTCACCGCCGGTAACTTCCCTCATTCTCTCTCTCTCTCTCTCTCTCTCTACAAGTATATATAGATATATCATGTTGTGAACTGCTTTAATTTTTATCGTTATGTTCGGTGATTTTAGATCTGCTAATAGATCCGAAGTTCTCCGAAATAAGCATAGTGTTTGGGTGCTGAGAAACACGGGGAAAAATTCTCTTAATTGAGTCTGTAAATTTGATGAGAACCAAATCAAATGATACCATTGGCTGAGTCAGGGTTGAGAAAGTGTAGCAAAAAAATAAGAACTTTTAACAAAAGGTAAATTTTGATATAAGCTTGAAGAAAGAAAAATAATAATAAGGAAAATAATAAATTTATATCAGTTGTTTCTTATTACTAATTCCAAAATTTTGAGTTATGCAATTAGGATATTAGCCATTTGAAGTCATTTTGTTAATTGATACAAATAAAAATTTGATCTTTATGAATAATCTAGAAAATAATTAAATTGATACTATGATATAATAAACAAATGTTTTGGGTTCGTTATTCCATATACAATATAAATTTTTTCATAAAATTTGAAGTTTTGTGTTTCATTGTGTTTTGAGTTGAAGTTTTCAACGGGTTTGATCCTTTATTATGTTTGTCTCAATGGAACAATTTTGAAGATTAAATTTGCCCCGGTCAATACATGTTATCTGTAGTCACTAATGATCTTGAGAATGCAATGATGGTGTAGTACCTTTCCCATTTCTTGTTCAGGAGTTAAATATATCTCACTTCCAACATGCTTGAAAAACAGTGGCTAGTGGAGACAATGTGGCCTTTAAGTCCATTTGTGAGTTTGGGGAGTATTTTGGGTTGCTCATGTTTTCTGCTAACCAAACACAACAAATTCATCACAGCACCTCTTCAACTAAAATTATGAACGACAAAGTTATTTAGAAAACAAGTGGGACTTGAGTTTCTTACTGGTGTTGCCTATTGAAAATGCAGGAGCCCTGATTGATGATGCATTAGATTGAAACAAATCAAAAGATTAATAATATAAAATTTAGCAATTTTTGATTGGAGGGAAGAAGTAACAATGGTTCCTAGTTGATGGTGGAATGTGTAGTTTGTACTTATAATTACATCCATACTATTTAAAAAAAAGGCAAATTACCTACACTTATGTTGAAATTTAATAAAATTACAGATTTTCTTTGGGGTTTCAAAAATTACATTCCGTCCTGTCGCAATTAACACTGTTAACGGATATCATAAATTGACTAAAATGCTTTTTTGACAAATAAGAGCAAATTACCTATATCCCTTTAAGGTTTAGTAAAATTATAGATTTTTTTCTTGAGGTTTAGTTAAATTGCAGATTTCTTCCTAAGGTTTAGGTAAATTATTATTTTTAAATAAGTTATGAAATGCAAAATCAAAATGGAAAAACACTTGTCGCATTACAAAAAATTAAGGTTTTAGAGATCAAAATTTAGGGACAATTATTTTTAGGGGATTAAATATTTTTGTTGAGAAAAATGTCATATTTTTAGCGTCGAAAATTGAACATTAGTGATTAATTATTATATTTTTGGTATCAAATTTTTTGTCTTAAAAAATAAACCATTTTGAGATCAAATTATGTTCTCCATAAAAATTTATTTATTATTGGCATTTTCGAAATTTTATTGCTAAAAGTCTTATTTTTGACTTTTTAGGGCGACGTTTTAGTAATTATTCTTACAATGATAGAAATTAGTTTTTTAATGTCTTTTATAACGAAATTTTCACTTTTAAAGATAAAAAAAATTAATCTCTAAAACTCTTATATGTTGTAGTGTCAGATGGTGAAAATATCAGAAAATTAACAAATAACTAAATAAGTTAAAAATATAAGAAATGACTTGTGAAAAATTTGATTTTTTGAAATTTATTCTAAAAAAAATTAAAAATTAATTTGGTTAAGAAATAAAAAATAAAAAATTATTTTTATTTTTATATAATTTTATCTTTTGAGTGGTTAGAAATAATTTTTACAAATAAAATATGTTTTTTCATATTTATTTTTATTAAATTAGTTTTTATTTTTTTATTTTTTTGTTGAATTTTTTTTTTTTCAAACAGCAAATCAAGCATGGTTTCATTTTTTTTTTTCATCTAATATAATTCTTTTGTAAATTTTGTTGATTTATCAAAGGGATTTTAGCAGGGGCAATATCGTCCATCAATTTATTTTTTGGTGATGTTAGCTAACCATTCTTAATGTTTAGTTAACGGTAGGGGTTAAATTATTATGCGAATATAAACCTTAGGAGGCGGGATGTAATTTCTAAAACATTGGAAGAATCTGTAATTTAGTTAAATCTCAAGGGAGGTGTAGGTAATTTGCCTTTCAAAATAAAAAAGTGAATGTTGGAAGTTTCTTGCTAGTAGGGATTTGAACTAAATACAAGCATTGTTCTGACCAGTGTTTTAAAAGGTGCGCTTCGACATGAGGCTCACTAAGGTGCACATAAGACGCTTCAAATAGTTTGAGGCAAGGCGCTTGAGGCGCGCCTTAGGCTTCAGTCCGAGGTGCATGTCTCATGCGCTTCATTTAAATTTTGTTCAATCCTTATTCTTTGTGTGTGTAACCATATAAAATTACTACTCCTTTAATATAAAATGCAAACACATGCTTTGAGCATCAATTTTCATATCAAAAAAAGCTCTAGACATTAAGCAAAAGCTCTAGGATTGCAAGATGGGTATATGGCTTTGGGATTCCTTTCAATGTAGTAAATTACAACAGTTTTGGGCTAATGATTGAAGCTATCATGCAATTTGATCCCGATTTGAAATTAAAACTAGTAAGATATTATATGACGTGAGTTCTTTATCTAGAAATAATTGAATCTATTAGGCAATTTAGTCCCGATTTAAAATTAAAATCATTAAGGTATTATATAATGTGAGTTCTTTTTCTTAAAAAAAAAATAAAAAATCACGTTAATAAATTGATAAAGAAAGATAAATAGTATAGGACAAAGTAAGATTGAATGTTATTTTTAAGAAATTTTTTAAACGTTGAATGTTCTCTTTCATGATTTTTGGAATGTTGAATGTTGTTCTATTTTTTTTTTTTTTTTTTTTTTTGGGGGGGGGTTTGAAATTTAAACAATATTTGTTTTATGTTAAAAATTTTGCCTATATTAATATTTTGGTTATCTTCAACAACTTGTGCCTCGCTTCAATGAGGGGCGCGCCTTGCCTTGCGCCTCACGCTTAAGCTCCAAGAGACTTTAGTGCCTCAATGCACTTAAAACTTTTTAAAACACTAGTCACAACATCTGATTGCTTGAGAAAAAATTATGATTTGAAAGCTTGTATTGATGGTGATTATGTACTTGGTGTTTGCAGCCATTCGACATGCTCTAGATTGTCTAATTTAATGGGAGCCATTGTGTGGATGATTACTTTCTTTGTTTCCATTTCTTGTTCATGTTTGTGGATTACAAATCAGAAAATGCCAATATTGACCTGTCTATCCAGAAGAATTTCAAACAACACAACACTAATAGGAAGTGGAAGTAGCAAAATGATTTTGTTTTGTAAAGTGAAGCCTCTGCATATTTGTGCGCATATATATAAATATATTTGAGGAGTTTAAGAGCGGTGTCCTCTCTTTCTCCTCAATTATATGTGAACAAATCAGAGAAATTTCAATTTAGAGAAATTGAATTTCTATGTGTTTTGAAATTCTTTTGGATTGAAATTTCTCTAAAAAAATATTGAGGGATCTCAACCATTATGAAAATATTATGTCTTTTATCCTATAAAATCTTAATACTAAAAACCTTAAAAAAAATTTCCTAAAATGTATGACAAGTATTTAAAAATATATAGAAGTACTTAAAATGTGCAAAAATATATCTCTATTTTTTTTTCTTCATATTTTAACATTTTTCTCATTTAACAAGATAGTTTATTAAATTGTTATTAGCATACTCTTTCAAATAGTATTATTTCAATGTTAATAAAGATTAGAGGTTTTGTCTTAACCGGACGTGAAAGTCATGAAACTAAATAATAATAATAAAAAGATCTTTATAGGGTGGTTAGGGCTACCTCTCCTCTAATGTTAGGTTTGATCATATAAAATGCAATTTATATATAACTTTATGATTCGAAATGGGTAGCTTTGTATGACAATCTTATTGTCTTAGTGTCTGCATCAATCTTCTAAATTATGAATATTGAGGGAGATGCACTTGTCCTAACAATGAGGTACCCAAAAAAGTTTGAGCCACATAATCCAAAAGTGGACCCCAAAAAAATTCACTAGTTTTGCTTTCCAAAATCTGATGTAACTATGACACATTTTAAAATTTATAGAAATAAAATAGAAAGAAAAAGGACAAAAAAAAAAAAATTTGAATTCAGGGGGGCTAATCCGGTTGTTAAGTACAAACAATGTTTCAAAGCTATGTAATAGATTGTTTTATTTGTTTTAAATTTTGTTTAGGGGATGCTAGAGTTCAGACTCGTTGACCATAAAAAAAAAAATAGATACGACACAAAATTTTAAAAAAAACAAAATTTGATGTCATTTTTTAAACAAAAAAGTAACTTTTGATGTTATTTTTTTTGACCCACAATAAATTTAGTATTATTGCTCTTCTCTTTAATAAAACTAATTTATAAGTTCGAAAATCATGTAGATGGATCTTGGGACTCCACCCACATTTATCAATAAATGCCACTATATTAAGATAGCTAAATTTCTATACAAATAATTAGATTATAAAACATAATATTAAGAAATAAAATGATATACAAGTCTATTTTTTAGATCTAGTGATGTGTCACGGATTGGGCACTTATTATCTTTCGAAGAAACCAGCTCCATGAGTGGTATTGCGTACCCCGTGCATTATGCCAAGGGTCCAACCCAGGTGATACGATAATGATCTACCCTGCATGCCTTACCACTCACAAACTAATGGGTTTGCAAGGTGCTTGGTGTAAAACTCACATCTCCAATGAGTTGGTATGTGAAATG